TGGGTTTGAACCATCAGCCTCAGTGTATGTGGCTGGCACCCTACTCACTGAGCCACAGGAGCCCAGCCTAGTTAACTAATTTTTGACAAGGGCTTCAAGAGCATACAATGGGGGAAGGAACAATCTCTTCAATAAATGGTGCTGGGAAAACTGGATATCTACATGCAAAAGACTGACTTGGACCCCTATTTCATACCATATTCAAAAGTCAACTCCAAATGGTTAAAAGACCTAAACATAAGACCTAAATCCACAAGAATCCTAGGAAAAAACATGTCATGCTGAGTGCCCTTTGATCCTTGTCCTTTTACCTAGCCAGGCATGCACACCCCATACCTACAACCAAGGAGGTAAGAACTCAGAGAAAGGTAAGCCACCCAGTGGGTCAGGCTGCTGTCCTACTTCACACCAGGCTTTGCTATGAGGAGACAAGCCCAGCTGAAATGTCCCTGTGAATATCCTGCTCTAAAAACAGAAAGCTGCTATCCCAGCCTCCACACCCCTGACATGAATAATGTCATTAAAACTGATGTTTGCAGCAAACCCTGTCGACCACCTAATTTTTTTCCCCTATGGGTAAGCATTTTTTTAAAGTTGTTCTTTAGGTAAAATTCACGTAACAAAAACCATTTTAAAGTGAACCATTAAAACGGCTTTAGTGCATTCACAATGTGGTACAACCACCATCTCTGTCTAGTTCCTGAATATTTTCATCGTCTTCAAAGAAAACCTCATATCCATTAAGCAGTTACTTCCTCCCCAGCCCCTGACCAGCATTCAATTGCTTCTATCTGTGTACAGTTTCCTGTTCTGAAAGTTTCACATACATGGTGCCTCATTTTACATAATAAAAGTTAACTTGAATCAAAGACCTAAACATAAGAATAAAAACTGCTTGACATTTTAAGGTGCTCAAGAGTTTTATGCAGTCTTAGGAAAAAGGATCCTCTTTTGAGAATCTCACTCTTTTACCCTAGGTAGAGTCCTGCGGCATCATAGCTCCCAGCAACCTCAAAGTTCTGGTTTTGAGCAATCCTTTTGGCTTAGCCTATGGAGTAGCTGGGACTACAGGCACCTACCCCAATGCCTGGCTAATTTTTCTATTTTTAATAGAAACAGGATCTTGCTCAGGTTGGTCTCTAAACTCCTGAGCTCAAGGGATCCACCTGCCTCGGCCTCCCAGAGTGCTGGGATTACAGGGCTGAGCCCTGGGCACCCAGTCAAGGATGCTTTTCTAATGAGCGTTTCATTCTCAGGTGAATAGAAGCAACCACCTTCCCACTTCCTCCTCCTTCCTCAAAAGTCAAAGAGCCACTGCTTGAGATCCTCAATGCCTTTTTTTTTTTCTGCTGGTTTGCAGAGTCTCCTTGGCTTTATGATCTACATAAATTTGATTTTAGATACGAAACAGATGAAATGTCCATGGTAGAAATTTAAAAGGGCTTGTCTGAATAGCCTCTTTCAGATATTTCCCATTTCTTCCCTTTTCAAGAGGGATAATGGCAACTAGGTCCATCCCATAAAGGGTAAATGATGTCATCGTGTAAGGATGATCCTTGAAAGCCTGGGGAAGGGAAGTTTGAGGAGGTCAAGTGACAGCCAATTTCACATAGCTGGTAAGTGTTGAAGCTAATATTCTAATTCTCACTATTTTATTCTAGCACCTATGATTCAAGCCCTCTAATTGATGCAAATGAATATAATTCCAGCACTCCCCATAATCACATGAGAAAATAAGGACAATTTAGAAAAGTCAAATGATAACCAAAAATAAGCATTCTGTCAAGCTAGGAGACAGATGACATAAAATGTGTCAAAAACTAATGACTTCCATGCCTGGTGATCACTATACAATACTCATTGCATAATTACAGTGGACAGAGAAAAGTTATAATGCAACATGATTACAATTGTTACAGTGAAAAGAATCTCATGTGGAGGTCGGGCATGGTGGCTCACTCTTATAATCCTAGCACTCTGGGAAGCCAAGGTGGGAGGACTGCCTGAGCTCAGGAGTTCAAGACCAGCCTGAACAAGAGTGAAACCCCCATCTCTACAAATAGCTGGGCATTGTGGCAGATGCCTGAGGTCCCAGCTACTTGGGAGGCTGAGGCAAGAGGATCT